CGATCAGTCATGCGTTAATGATGGAGGACACGTCACTGCCAGGCCTAAAAGCCTGAGGGGCGGGCCATTGTGTGGGAGGCAACAGACACGCGGTCCCACGCGCGGCAGTTGCGCGCCTTCCCGCGGAGTTCGCAACGGGGCGTCCGCTCCTCCTTCCCTAAGGCGTCGGAAAAGGGGTCGACCGAGCGCGGCGGCGGCTGGCGTACTCAAGGGCGGGGTCGGCCGAGAGTCGGCGGCTGGCGCGCTCAAAAGCGGCCAGCTCCGGCCGGCCGTTCAGCGACAGCGGCGTCGGCCCTGGGGAGCCGGTCTGACCCGCTGCCCCCGGGTCACGAGGCGGGCGCCGACTGCAGCGCCCCTGCCGAGCGTGATTGGAGTGGCGCTGCGCCGAGAGCGCGTGACGCCCTAGGATTCTAGGAGCTAGAATCCCACCCTTCTAGATTCTAGGAGCTAGAATCCCACCCTTCCAGACGAACACTAAGGGTTCTGATGGAATTATAAAGCCTATTAAAACTAGGATTCTGTCCGGATATGTTTTTTTTGAAACCCTGTTCTGCTGTGATTCATTTGACTTGCATTCCCTTTGAATTGTTCGCTTATTTGCCTTTTTCATTTTACTGCTATCTTTTGGCTGTTTACCTTTTTCGTAATTAATTTGTCCTTTGTTCTTTTGAAATTGTTTGATTATTTGAATCTTTGGAGCTTGCCTTCATCCTTTTGTCTGCTTGTTCTTTTGACATATCTATTTGACTTTTATCATTTTTTTTATTTTTTGTGTTTGACTTTATGCCTGTTTGACCTTTTGCATTTGGCTTTTATCACTTGCATCTAGACCAACGTTTCCTGACTATTTTTCTCCCAAACCCGGGCCTACCAGCCCAGACATCTTCCATAACCCGGCCTGCCAGTTCAGGCGTCTTCATTACCCCTGCCTGCCAGCTCAGGGATCTTTTATACCCCAACCGGCCAGTCTCGGGGTCTCCCATACCTAACCTGCCAGTCCAGGCATCTCCCGTACCTCGGCCTGCCAGTTCAGGCGTCTCCCGTACCTCGGCCTGCCAGTCCAGGCATCTCCCGTACCTCGGCCTGCCAGTCCAGGCGTCTCCCATACCTCGGCCTGCCAGTTCAGGCGTCTCCCATACCTCGGCCTGCCAGTTCAGGCGTCTCCCATACCTCGGCCTGCCAGTTCAGGCGTCTCCCATACCTCGGCCTGCCAGTCCAGGCATCTCCCATACCTCGGCCTGCCAGTTCAGGCGTCTCCCATACCTCGGCCTGCCAGTCCAGGCATCTCCCATACCTCGGCCTGCCAGTCCAGGCATCCCCCATAGTCGGGCCTGTCGGTCCAGACATTTCCCAGTGCCGCTGGCTGTGGTGCGGTACCGACGTCCTGTGCATCCAACTGCGGTATTACCCGTGCCAGGATCCGGCTTCTGCAACCATACTAGCGCCAAATTGATACTCATTGGAAACGGTTATTTCGCATGTGTACGCGGTTGTAAAATCATACTGGTAAAGGTAGCTGCGGAAATAAGGTCAACAGCGAGCAGACTCTCGCGGTGTGTATGTGACCGCGAGTTGTGGATTGTGCAGCATTTTATTGCGTAAAGTATAGTGCCAACGTGAATGTGTTTAGGTACGCACGCACGCGAATCTCAACATCGTTGTTCCGTACGCGAATGTTGGATTACTTTGATCCATTGTTCGGGATTTAAAAAGCTGCGATTCCGATGAAAAAAGCAGTTGAATAATCATAGGAAGTGGATGCTGGGCTAGCATGTATTAACGATACGCAAGTGTGTGGGCGCGTAATGTTTCACACGCGCATTGGGTTCACGTGCGCACTCGGACTGTGAGAAAGCTTAGAAGGCTGCAGGCATAGGTCAGCTCGGGTCACCTGATTGGAGCGAATGGACGCGTGTCGATTTCCAGTTGGCCCTCGATACGTCTGCTACCTTTCAGTTGAGATCATGACAAACGAGCTTCGAACGTAAGCATCGGTCCGCCCTTCCGGGGTATGGCGCCCATACAGGATATTAGGCATGACACCACGCTCGGGTGATCTCCGTGGGTTCAAGACGGCTGTCATGTCCTGAGGTGTGATCACCGCAGTGAAAGCGTGGTAAGACCACCGGCGAGCGGATGAGACTGCGTGTGATCGATGGTTCTGTGTAGACTCTGGCCGACGATGCGTGAGAGGAGCACGAAGCTGTGCTTGAACACCTGCCGCCAGCTCATCACTCGAGAGCAATTCGGTCAGACGGCTTGATTGGCTGATTAGCGCTGCCCTAGGCCGCGTCAATGGCAGGTCAATTTTGCACTCACATCGAAGCGCTCCCCGGCTCAGCTAATGTTATTAGCAGTTTGTTATTAATGCCAAACTGCTATGCAAACTAAATCTAAATGTTTCTTGTGATGCACAGCTGTCGTCCATGATCGGCTGAGCAGGAACGGGTTTCCTTGATCTTCAAGTAATGACCACTGTCTGTCAGCCGTCTGAACTGTAACGATTTGAAGAACAAATGCAGCGCCCTGCCTTCACTGCGTCGTGAGCGGGCCCACCAGTGCAGACGTAATAACCATGAGGGGACGCATGAATTATGACCGATATACTTTGATGGAAGCCTTAGCACTATACCTGTGGTAGTACAGAAATGAAACTTCATTTCAAACCGTTGGTTTCTCTACATTTTGAGGTGCTCCTGTACTCTGATTGTGGTCGGCTTGCGTTTTTGGAACAAGCGGCAGACTAATGTTGGCTGTTAAGAATAAAAGCCTGCAGTGATGTAAAACAAACACAACTATGGGATCATCGGCAAGTGTGCCGTGGTGCCTTGCGCCTCTCTCACCGTACCGTTTCTATGATGTTGCACCTCCTTCAGCGTACTGCTGTATCGGTGTACTGCGATGTGTTGTCCCCGTGATCTCCGTCTCCGTGATGTGTTGTCTCCGTCTTAGCAATCGCTAAGTTGATCTCAAAAGTACTGATAGCTTGCGACATTGATGGATGAAAGTCGAGCCGCGGGCGGCGCTGGGGTGCAGGTTACCCCTTTAGCTGATGTGCCCTTAAACCCAATTACAGCTGGTCGAGCTCCCAACGAACACTCCAACCTGCCATCACATGATGGAATGTGTTGCAGCCTGTCTGGCCGGTATGTGGCGGCCACCTGACGTCCCATGTCGCCCGCCTATGCGCGCTTGTGGTCTCCGGGTGACTGACATGACGCTGGGCGGGCTGTGCGAGGTCATGGTCTCCATGAAGCGTTCTGGGGCCTGTGGACCTGATGGTATTTGTATCCGTATCCTGCTCCTCTGTTTTGACGCCGTCGCCCCTATCCTTCTCCAGTACACTGGAAACTCTCAAATCCGTATATCCGACGTCAAGCGTGACCTTCCTTCTTTCTTCATCTAACGCATGAAGCCACCCTGCCCTCTCTAGTACCACGGTTTCATGCCCACGATCTCAAGTTCAACGCATCCGAAAGCGAACTCCTCCATGGCACCAGACAAAAACTCCGCGAACCTTTCCCTGTCAGTGCACGGGTCGGTGGGAGACCGTGCGAGAGAGCCAGACCGGGGGAAAACTAGAAAAAAAAACTAGAAAAAACTAGACCTTGCTGTTTGACCGCCACCTGAGCGGGGTCGCATGCGTCGGTGATGCATTCAAAAAGTGCATCGGCGTTCTGATTGGTTTCCGCCACCTGAGATATTTGACCCCCCGGTGAGTGCTACTGACCAGCATGCAGGGTCCCGCGTCATTTCGCGCGTGCGATACTTCATTTCAGTTGATGGTCAGAGGTCAGCTGTTCATGACATCAGGCCACTGAAAGTGATTCACTTTGTTACCAGAGTAGCTGCCGGCAGCCAAAAGTATGACCACGTGCTTCACAAGCAGGATGACATGGAACTTGCCACGCCTCGCCAAATGTGCGACGCTGCGCATCTGGCCTATGAACTGTTATTGCCAATGAACATTTGGCTTATGAACGGCTATCGCTAGCGAACATTTGGCGAATGAACTGCTATCTCTCCGTACAAAGCCGGTGGGCGAGGTGGACGTACAGATATTGCCTGTTTATTTCAAACATACGCCGACTCGCGGACCCGCGGCTGTTCCACCCGCATAGATCAAAATCTGCGCTCCTCGGCGGAGCGCACGACAGGACAGCGGTCCTTCGCATACCGAGCGGCCGGGCCCGACAAGTCTGAGGCGCAGTGTTAAAACATTCTGTGTGCAGTAGGTTTGCCTGATGATGTTGATGTGTTTGTTATGTTTTTGCCCCTTATCACTTTCCGTTGTTTTTCCTCTCTGTTTTATCTCGCTGACAAATGGCACGTAATAGCCTCGTATTTATTTGGAGTGGCAGCTGATGTTAAATACAAATCGCACCGAAATGCCCCAAGTATTTATTTGGAGTGGCAGCTGATGTCGAATACAAATAAAATACAGATATGTGTAAATTAGTCAAGACGTTCGGTCCCCCTCAACTGATCCGTCTCCAGAGTAGAGGAAAGGACCCAAGTGTCATTCGGGTCAATGAGATAGCCGCCGGCTGGCCCAAGCGTGGGGGACCCCTGAGATACACGTTAGGTGCTTCCCGTTCAGAACTACGCGGGCCGACCAGGAGAGCCACTCGGCGTTGGGCCGAGGACGTCTGAGGACGGCACTGGGTTGCCACCGGACTGGCTGGCTAGCTGGACTGGCTCGTCCCCAGCCCGCAGTGCCAGCGCTCAGAGCCGCTCTGGCTGTAGACTGCAGACGGTCGAGCGCGACACGGAAGGGATGCGCTGCGCTGCTGCTCAGCGTCGTCATCAGCAGGCAATGGCTCATTAGAACGCGCTGCCGCCAGGCCGGTGTGATGCATCGGTTCTGGCCGGCTCGCCGCCGCTGGCGCCGGTGCCACTGTCGCCGGCCGGTCCGGCGGCCGCTGTCATGGCACGGGCGTGATGTACGGCCAGTCCGCGGCGCCTGATAACTCAGTCTGTCGGGCCTCCACTGCCGACAGATCCTGCTCGTCAACATCACCGCCATCAACGCCTTCACGCTGGTGTACCGGCGGCGCGCGCTGGACTTCGGCGCCGACGACCGCCGCCTGCTGTTGTACGTGTACGGCGTACCTAGCGTACTGGCCTGCTGCCTGGCGGCGGCCGGCCAGCTGGGACCCAGCGGCGCCTTGTGAGTACCACCGCGGGCGGACGCTGGCGCCCGCCTCTGCCACTGTCACCTCCCGTTCGTGCCCAGGGACGAGAGAGAGGCGTGGTTTATGCCAGCGAAACAGAGGCGCGGGCCACTGGGAAGCGGACGCGTGGCTCAACATTGTCTGGAGATGGGAGCGGACGCATAACGCCAGGAGAGAGAAGCAACTAAATGCCGCCGGAGTTGAAGGCCTGGTTGAAGGTCACCGAGAAACGCGCGGCTAATTGTTGACAGAGAAGAGACGTGGCTAAATGCCAGCGGGATTGGCGTGGCTAAATGTTGGCATAGGAGCGGTATGATAAAGCCTCACCGGGAGAGAGTTCTGGCTACCTGCCGTCAGGTGAAAGGCACGGGCTATGTTGCCAGAACAGAGGCATGGCCATGGTCGCCAGGAGAGGTGTAGGGCTAAATGCCGCTGGAAGGAACGTGGCGTATGTCAACGGGAAAAGGTGCTACCTGCTATCTGGACAGAATCGCGACTGAAACTTCGCCTGGCGAGAGGTGTTGCTTACATTGTCAGGAGACGAGCGTGGCTACATGTAGCCTACACAGAAGCAGGTCGTGTTTAAAGGCGACGGTGTATGTAAGCAGGAGGGGATGAGCGGCCCGAATGGCGCTGAGAGAGGCGTGGCTGGCGTCGCCGGGTTTAAACTAGGAGAAATGCCGTCTGAGAGGGGTATGTCGCCGAGACCAGGTTGGCTTAATTTTACCACCGGTGAACCGTAACTAAAACTCACTAAGAAAGGTGTAGGAAATGCCTCCAGATGGAAGAGAGGCGTGACATGGTGTTCATGAGACTATAAGAGCTGCGCAGGGATGTCGAGATGAGGGCGCGCTAGATGCACTAGTAGAGCAGTGGAGCCAAACGTCACTCAGGAAGCAGCCGTGCTAAGTGCCGGCGGCAGGATGCACTCTGGTCAGGCCGACTAACTGTATCCACCTTCATCCACTTATCGGACGATCAGCTGAACGGGCCGGGGTGCTGTGTCGGGTTTGCATCCGATGTACCCAGCGCACCACCAAATCACCATGGCTGATGTCCTATGGCTGGCATCTAAATCCACTGGGGATTGCTCTGAGCCTTCATATACGCTCACTAGTTCGTGGTTATTGCATATGTAATTTGCGTGAGTGCCAGCAGCTTCGGGTTGCCGTAGCACACTGTGTACTTATTCACTGATTTCGCAGGATGGCGACATTATCACCTTATAAATTCCGGTCGCCAACTAAGGTATTGATCTAAAACAATGAACCTGTCCGCTCGCTGTTGCATTTGCTTGTACAGAGTGACGCACAACTGCGTCGCATCACACGGATGCTGCGCTGCTTGACCTCTGAGGAAGTGGAGCGAGTGCTGTACTCTGTGACAGCGTTTGCAGCTGAAAGCCATCAGCCCCAGGCAACAGCGCCAGACCAAACCCATTACCGTCGAACGCCGCTTTACTGCGCAATTCACTAACACAGATCGATCGCTGCGCCGACGACGGTGCTCGCTGGGTGGAAGAAGCAAAAACAGGGAACTTTGCCCGGACCAACCCCCCACAGACACAAGACACCGCAGGTACCTTACTGGACACACGACGCCTTCCGGAGGACTCTCTGATGCGTATCCGAACATCATCCCATATCCCTCCTCACGTGAGGAACCCGGCTCATCCCTGCGTGGTCTGCGTGCCTGCGTGGTGACGCACGGCCGCGTGGTCGTGGACCCTGCGCCATAGCCGTCCCTGCCCTAAGGTGTTTTCCCATCGCAGGGGTTAAGGGTAGTCTCGAGTTCGTAGTATGCTGAAAGATCACAGCTCAAAACGTCAACACACTCAATACAACCGAATAATATCGGCCGGAAGAACATCGACACGCAAAATGTCGTCACAAGCACATCGACGGGTAGAATGCGGGCACGTGAACGATGGACAGGCAAAATGTTGACGTGCAAACTATTGGCACCGAAAGCCAATACCTGCCATCTGTGTGGGCGTGGCCATTGATACGCCTGAAGAAAAATTGGTACGGATGCGGTCATTAAAACACTGGAATATCTGACAACACATCGGTATCTGATGTCTCTCTCAGCAAACTGATCACAGCAAAATGGTAAGGATTAAAAACGCGTATTCGACATACATGTTGCGAATTAGACATGAAGGATTCGCAGGTAGATTCCTGCAACCGTGCAATGCACGGCGCGTCGCATCAAAGTAACGTTAGCCTCTGGCGCGGGCGAAAACGAAACAGTGAACCTAGCAACATCTGACATTCTAGCAGTGGGGTTCGAGATTGCCGCAGCTGCTTCTCGTACGCCTGGCCACACCTGTGCCGCACTCATTAAGGAGCGGTACGGCGGACCTCAGCAATCGGCATGGACTGGCGGACCCGGATGGGTTGCAGGGTCTGCTCCATCCAACGTGCGATGACTGTAACGTTAAATTTACGGCAGTGCTGGAGAGGAAAGGTCCAAAATACCATGTAAACCCTAAAGAGCCGATCTCTTCCCCAGCTCGAGTGTTGACGAACAGGATCTGTATCATCACACCCACAACCTTTTTAAGGACGAGAGTATTTTGGCGAGGTGGATTCACCATGTACTGCCAACTTTCCCGTTTACCACTTACGTCCTGACCACACCGCAGTCAAAATAAAATCTGAGACAGGGGACTAGTGAAATGAAGAAGACGTTTCGTCCGATAGTTATATGGGTGTCAAAGTGATGTCAGTCGTGGCGTAAAATGTTTGACTATTTTAGGAACGTCACGGAGTGCTCTTTTGATCAATGGGCAGAGGCACCGTGCTACCAGTCTTAGATGGGGGGGGGACGAGATCAGATACATCTTGTGACGCTTGATTGAAAAATGGATGAGACATGTTGTTGCTTATATATATATATATATATATATACATATATATACATCTATCTATCTATCTATATATATATATATAATATATATGCATATATACATTTATATGTATTTATATTTACAAAATTAATAATGCTGGCATCCGTAAATCAGCATCGCCAAGCAAATGCCTCCTGCGCCTAGCGCTGCACCAACGCGGCAATGCGCCGGACTGAATGTCTTGTCGTAGTTTGGAGCCTCTTGACACGGTGCATGTTACCAGCTGCATCCTCTAACCATGCGATGTAGCAATGGATAAACCATGTGGATGTTCACTGGCAGATCTACATAGGGTACTATTTCACACATTTTTGCTCCCAAACTATTTTATAGAATGGATGTCCGAGCTCAAAAAACCTCTGCTTGCTCATCGACTGTGTATAATAAAGAGCGCAAATCTGTCCATATACCACAGTGGCGACAAGTGTATCCTTGTGACACGCTGGATATAGATCAAAGAGCACAGCCATCTTCCGGGCTGTAGCACCGTCGCTCGCGGTGCGGCCCCAAGCGCAGCCGGAACATCATTTGGCGCAATGCCTTATGCTTGCAAAAGCGACTACGGCGCGAGCTGGATGCACTTAATCTGGACGACGGTGATGCACGTGACACACTCCTGCCTCGCTGGTCCTCCGTGTACTCGTTGAACAAATCGAGGTTTTCATCCGCCGTGGCGCGCTGAAACTGCGTTCAGCTGTGGTTGTGTTAGTGGGCGGGGTAATGAGAGGGAAAGTTTGATGATTTTCAAGAAAGACACCCCCCCCCCCCCACACACCACACGCACACCCACGGGCCTGACACCCATGTGAAAATGGATGCAGCATCGTCGAGGAGGGTGCGACGTCAACACGTGAGCGGCGCTGAAAGCTGTACAATCAGGTCGTTGGCGTTGAGACCTCCAGCTCACGGACAGCCCCGTGGGTGGATCAGTGATGCCCGCCTGGGTGTTCTCTCCCAGAAAAAAAAACGTTCAAACCCGCGCAAGAGTTAATCCAACTGTTGTTCCGTTGTTCTGTGCTGTCCAACACCAATCAAGAGCCAAGCGCGGAACTTTCCTGACCCGCGGAAGAGTCGGCCAAGCTCATTCTTTGTGCGAAGGGATTGTAAACAATCTCTGAGGCATCGCAGCTGCCCCTTCGCTCTAAATCTTGCACAAGGGTGCCGCAATCGACGAAGAAAGCCGATGGTTTACTATGACGTAGGATTACTGGAGCGCCACTAAAAGCTCACGACATGGTCGCCAGATTTCCTCACGCTGCAGACCTGGATTATAAATCCGCTCTCGCTTCTTGGTCTCCGCCGATGAAATGACGTCACGGATGGCTGGTTCCAGATTCGGAGACGCTGTCCTGCGCTTTACTCCACGAGTTGGCCTGCCCGTGCATGCGGGAGCGGAATGATATCTTTCCTTTGCTCTCGCCCGGTCACCAAATCTAGCTGATGAGAGCACGAGCTCTCGGTGTCGAAATTGCAGCGGCTGACCCAGCTCGCGCGCCTTTGCACAGTTATTACAGAGAGCGTGGCGTCGGATCGGACATAATATAAGCTATACACTAGAGCACCTCACATATTACATCATTTCACGGATTGGGGATCCGTCCGCGAGCTGGATTAGACCAGGTCAGAAATTTCTACCAAAGCATGAACTTAGACCGGATTTTCATAGCTGCAACTTACACAGATTGACTGGATTGAAAGCCAATCAAATCGAAATGATCACGAAATGGTCCCTGAAATGCATAATGGAGACATCAACTCGGAAAAGTACCTTAAAAAGTACCTTTAAATCAATCAAATGCAGTAGTCTCGATCCCAAGCAGTACACACAACAGGTTACTAAGTACGTAGCCCAGCCACATATTCCACAAACAATTTTTCTGATGAACAGATCACTCCAACAAATCGATGTATGTGAGCCACAGCTGGTAATTTAGCAGGAAATAACGGGCGCATTGAGGTTGTTTCATCAGCTGGTATGTCCGAGATGGGATAC